GCAGATGAAGTGCAGAGAAATTGTTGGAATTACACCAATAACATGATTTATCTAAGTCAATATAAGTATTATTTACAATTAAGGAGTATTGATTAAGTCTCAATTAATAATAATAATAATAATAATAAAATAAATAAATGTTATTGTTTAATTTAACTATATTATTAAAGCTCCAAATTAATAATAATTAATTAATGATTTAAAAAAATTAAATAATTCAAAATGACCGAAAAAAACTTCATTTTAAATTTTACATTGCGCGATTATTTAAGTTCAGTTTTCGTAAATGTGATTATTATAATAAAATTTACATAATTTAATTATTTTTAAACGATATTAATAAAGTTAATTTCCTCGTAAGTTTTATAATTTATTGTTTAATAATATAATTACAGTTTGTTAAAAGATAATTAATTATCTTAGGTAAATATAATATCAACTTCATTAATTTTCATAAAAAATGAAAAATTGTTCTATTATGCGTGTTTTTGTACTTTTATCAATGAAAGTTAATGATCGAAAATTATTTTTGTCATAAAACTTACATTGGATTATCAAAAGAATATTTGAATTTTAATCATTTAAAATTACTTGGAAGATTTCCAAAAACTCACTGAAATAAAATTTACATTTTGAAAAAAAAAGCAAATAAGATAATAAAATATTATCTTTTGTTATATGTGATTTTTTTTTCTTTTTATAACTTATCATTTGCAGCTAAAGTATCTTTAATACAGTATATAATACAATCCTACTCAAAATATAAGAGTAGAAGTAGAATCTGAGTAAAATTATTTAAATAAGAAATTTATAGAAATTTTATTTATCCATAATAAACCGAAATTAAAATTTTAAAGTTTATTTTAAAAATTAATTATTTTTAAGACTAGTCTATTCAATGTAAAAATGAGATAAATTTAAAATTAAACTCCTTAAATAAATAAATAATTTCAAGCAACTTTAGAATTTTTTAAACTTTAATTACATTTTTAATCTTATTTTTTAATTAAAATTAACTAGTTCTTACAAAAGAAATGTTTAATAAATGCATATTTTTAATAACAACTTTTTAATATTTTATTTTCAGAAATGTCAAAGATTCAATTCTATTTTTTCAATATAAAAATAATCGGATACATAAACTATTTATTCTATTTTTTAATCAAAAATATATTTTGAATATGAATAAAATTTTATTTTTTATAAAAAATAAAAATTACATATATTGAAATATTATTAGTAATGACATTCTTTTTTATAATTGAATATTTTGAAAACTAATAACTTCATTCAAAAGAAAAACATTTTTAGAAAATGAAAATAAAATATAATAATTAAGAAAAATTTATTGAATAAAATATAATAAAATTTAAGTAATTTTTTTAATTTTAAAGAGCTATTAATATGAAAACTTGATTTATTAATAAACATTGAAATGTATTAACATGCTGTTTATACACCTGGATATTTCTCTCGAGATCATCACATGTTGAAAGCATTACTGTGAATAATAATCTCTCTTCAGATTATATCCTGTTTAATAATTTCACTTTAACTTGTCCAAATTGTGATTTTAATTATAAAATTTCTAACTTTGTTAACATAATTCAAAATTAATGCATACATTTTTTAATCAACGATAACAATTTGCCTACTCGTGTATATATGTATATATTTAATTTATCCAATTTAATCTTGATACTTTAATAAATAAAATTATACGATTTTAATTAGA